TAGATCAGTGGTTCTCAACCTTGGCTGCACATTAGAATCACCTGGGAATCTTTTTAAAATCCTGATTTCTGGGCCTCATCCTCCGGAAATTCTGTTTCTTTGTTATGGGGTGGGGCCACAACATTAGTAACAAAGAAACAGAATTTCCGGAGGATGAGGCCCAGAAATCAGGATTTTAAAAAGATTCCCAGGTGATCCTAATGTGCAGCCAAGGTTGAGAACCACTGCTCTAGGGCCTCATGCTGCCCTGGGGATTGTTAAAGCTTTTAGATTATAATCATGAAAATTCATTAAGACTCGATAAGAATTAATTAAGTCCTTACTGCGTATCCAACACTGTCCTAGGTGCTAGAGAGAATAAGACAAAGGGAGGCCTCTGGGAGATTAGGCAGTGAGGTGTGTCCAGGGGAAGACAGCCGGAGCTGGGGCTGGAAGAGGGCGGGGGCCAGATGTTCAGGTTCCTACAGAGCTTAAGAAGATTTAAAACTTCACCCCGTTGGGGACAGAAAGTTGTAAAGAGTTTTCGACAGGAGAGTGACCCGACTTGTTTTACCTCCTCTCCTCCAGGTTGTGCACACTGTCAGCCCGAGGCAACCCTCTTGACCTGTGGGACACTCAGACACCCAGCCTCACCTGGAGCTCTGGTCCCGGTGAGAAAGGCACCTGGTGTCAACCCACAGGCACAGAGTCCGCCCAGGGGCCTGCAGAGAGGAGAACCAAGTTAACTCCTATGGGAATGAGGATTATGGGCACTCGGGCCAAACGTGGGGGGACTTTCGCAGCCAGGAAAGCAAAAGCACGCAGCGCAGCGCAGGCCTGTCCTTGCAGATTCCCACTGATACTCTGGCCCAGGGATCCCAGTGCCGGCAGAACCTTTCACGGACTCGGACAACACTAAGTTCAAGGACACCAACACCCCTCGCCAAACAAAAACGTCATGACAGAAACTGCAATGAGTTCCTGGAAACATAAGAAATTCGCTTTTCCGTGAGCCAGAAGTGGGTTTGGGGCAGGTCAGTAGTAAAGAATGGTGATCTTATTATTACTCTCTGGGAAAGGTGATCATACAACTTCAGAAAGTGAAATCACGTTTCTAAGGTGAAGAATCCCCTTTGTTGCACCTAGAATAGTGCTATGCAGAGTGGGTGCTTGAATTGTGGGTAAAAAATATAAAACTGGTAAATTTTGTGCGTATCTTCGAGGCTGGCTTAAGTATAAACTTGTTTTTTTAAAACACTTGAAAAGATAAAAGATTTGTTTCATATTTTTTAAAAAAGAAAAGAAATGGTACACTAAGACCTGCATGTAGAGTCTGACGCGTGGTGGGCGGCGTGTTTCCTGATCAGGGGGTCCCTCCCCGACTCCCAACCTCGCGCCTGCGCACGGCGCCTGCGGGGACGGTGGGCGGGGCTTCCTGTGGCCCCGCCCACAGTGTGATCGGCCAGCG